GACTCTGTAAACCGCTTAGAGAGGGCTGAAAGCCCTATGAAGCGGTATATAAGTCTAACTGCTATTGCTATTGCTATTAACTATATAAACGTAGTTTTCTTTTAAGGTGTTCTGTGTTTTTCTTCTCCTAGAAACATCGTGTGTTAATGAATCAAAATCTAGGACAAAGTTAGAAAATGAAATTCTTTCCTTCATACATTAAGTGTAGTACTAATAGAAAAAAAAAACTTTTGGATGAATTGGAATCAGTTATCTCTCCTATATCTTTTTTTCCTCATTAAAGTATTCCACTTCAACAAGCTTTTAAATACCAGCTGTTAAATGATTTAGTTACAACTTCTGTCTATCTAATTTGATTTTCTTGTAAATGGTTCCTAGAGTTTGAATTAAGTAATTTAATTGTTACCTGAAGCAGCATTTATCATTAGAGTGAACGAGGAAGAAAGTCAGATCAAAAGAAATGAAAAAAGGAGCCCAGGGGAACCAGACATATGCTTATGAGATGTTAAACAGCAATTAGTTGAAACTCACAGGAGGTTATACCACCTCTAACGTTTTTTTCTGGAGGTGGGAGAAGTGGAAATTTTTATGTCTCTAGTTAAATTCTGTCTTCCTTAAATTCCCTTTAGTCTATCCCTAGTCCTATAGGGTGTAAACTGTTTTAGTGAAAAAGCACATGTGTTCCATTAGAATGCAGTGGCTGTTTGTGTGTTAATGTTCCCTTGAAGCTCCAGCTCTCTAGTGGCATGGGTCTGGAAAGAACCTCAATCCTGAATTTGAGAGAGAAACAATATACTTTTGCAAAGTGTTTTCCTCTCCAGTGCTCCCCCCCCCTTGCAGTACTAAGAACAAATACTTTAGATAAAGCAAGTGCATTTTATTAAGGGGGGAGTCTTGATAAAGGGGACAGAACAAACAATATATTTGATATTTATAAGGTGACAGCAACAAATCAAACAATAAAAGATTAGATGAGGGAAAGATAAACACCCTTACAATATGTGGCATCTTCTCCTTTCCTATCTGGGTTTTTTTCTTTAGCACTTGCAGCACTCAAGGATTTCAGAATACAGTCCTATTGTTAAGTTTCTGAACAGGTTAGTTTTGCTAATGACTTTGGCTAAAGGAAAAACAAGATTTCCTATACTTCCAAAGGAGGCATGGTTGCCATGTTAAAATGCTAATATCACCTTAATTAAAAATGTAATCATGAAGCCTAACATTCCAGGTAACACTAAGGCCCTGTTTATTTCTGATCATAGGTATCTTTTCTTGTTCTATAAGATGGAGGTTCCTGCAGTTTGAGCCAGGGCAAAGTTGAAACACAATAATAGTTACACAACAGTAGAATGAAACCTTTGTATATAATGAATTGGCCTTTGTGGGTTATATCCTCTGTGGGCAATTTAATACCAGCATCTGGGAATCTGGAGCTGAATTTAGCAATTTACCCTGAACAGCTTTCAGCAGTCAGCCTTTCCTTGCATCTTGATTTCAGGGACTTTCAGAAACTACCATCACTCATTTCAGTCATGCTTTTTCCTCTGCTGCAGGAAAGTGGGAATGTCCTTGGCATCAGTGTGATGTGTGTAACAAAGATTCAGCCTCCTTCTGCGAGATGTGTCCCCGATCATTCTGCAAACAGCATCGGGAAGGCATGCTGTTTATCTCCAAACTGGATGGACGCCTGTCATGCACAGAACACGATCCTTGTGGACCTAACCCTCTAGAGCCAGGAGAGATTCGTGAGTATGCGCCTTCCACAGAATCAGCAGCTGGCTGCCAAAACACTCAGCCATCAGACCAGCAGCCTGCAGCTACAGGCCCGAAATCTCAGTCCTCAGAGAGGCTTCCTCTGACTGTGTCTCTGAGGCTGCAATCCTCAGATAAACCACCTTCCTCTTCATTGGCTCTGAGGCTACAGTCCTCAGACAAGCCGCCTTCCTCGGTGGCCCTGAAGCTACAGCCCTCAGATAAACCACCCTCTACAATGGCACTGCGGCTTCAACCAGCAGACAAACTGCCCTCCACCCTGGCCCTGAGTTTAAAGCCCTCTGACAAATTGCCCTCCACCCTGGCCTTGAGGTTCAAGCCTTCAGACAAACTATCCTCTGCCCTGGCCCTTAGATTGCAATCATCAGACAAGCCACTTTCGGCAGTGGCTCTTAGGCTACACCCCTCAGAGAAGTCAGCGCCCACGGTGGCCCTCAGGCTGCGGGCCTCAGAAAAGCTAGCTTCCCCTGGGGCCCGGAAGGGGCAACCCCCTGAGAAGCTGTCCCCCGCCATAGTTCGGGAGGAACAGTCCTCTGTCGCCACTGAGGAAAAGCTACCTGGATCTGAGACAGCAGCCGACTGCTCGGCCCTAGAGGCACCCAAGAATTCAGACCCATCTCCGATGGGTACTTCCCAGCCCCTATTGCTAGATAAGCGCCCCACCACCCCACCGCCCCATGGGCAGGTAGTGGACAGAGCTGCAGAACCTGAGTCTCTCAGGTCTGAGCCGCAGGGCAGGGCCATTTCTGTAGGGCAGCTGCCTCAGCCTTCAGGGAAGGCAGCCCCTTCACTGAGCCTGAAGCCGCAGCCGCCAGTTAGACCTGTCACCCCAGTAGCCCTGAGGTCTAAGCCGTCAGAGAAGCTAGTCGCTCCGACCGGCTCACCGCCTCAGACGCCCAGCAGGCTGCCTACCCCTGTGGACATTCGGCCTGTACCATCTGACGAGCCTTCTACCGCCGCGGGCCTGAGGCCTCAGCTCTCAGACAGGCTTCCTGCCCCACTAAACCCCAGGCCTTTGCTTTCAGAGAAAGCACTGCGGCCAGTCGACCAGAATGCTCAACCCAAAGAAAGAGGCTTTGTGACTGTGGAGCAGAACCCTCAGCCGAAAGAACGGACATCTGTATCTGGCGAGCAGTCTTGTCGGCCAACGGGGAAATGTCCACCCTTCCCAGGGCAAACCTCCTGTCCGCTAGAGAACTTGCAAATGCACGAAAAGACCTCTTGGCTTAGTGCAAAAGGGCTGCCATCCATGGAGCAATCTTTTTGGACAGCTGAGAAACTGCAGTCTCCTGAGCACAGTCTCTGTCCAGGCCAAGAAGCAATATCTGCACCCTCCACGGAGCAGACATTTTGGTCAACAGAGAGATTGTCTGCATTTGAACAACCCCCTTGGCCTGGAAGGGAAGCTCCACTACCTTCTGGGCAAACCTCATGGCTGACCAGAAACATTCAGACATTGGAGCAGATCTCTCGGCTCTCTGGGAAAACACAAACGCCTGTGGGGCAGGGCATCTTGCCTTTGTCTGAGCAAAATGCGGTGCTAGGACTGGACCAGGACTCCCCTGGCCACGAACCTCCTGAGTCTAAATCTAAGTGAAGCCAGTTTGAGGCCAGACGGGTCACCTATTTGTTTTTATTGGTTTTTTAATTGTATGGGAAAGGATTGTTTTGGTTTGTTGTTTTCTTTTTAATCCACTTCCCCAGTTTCTTAACCTTCAACAACATCCTGCTCAAGCTATTCAGACGTATTTTAACTAAATCTCTATGATGCCCAACCAAGGAGCAAGAATGTAGGTGGTCTTTACCTTCATTTCGCAGACAATAATGCTGATATAAAGGAATCCGCTTGGGATAAAATATTTAATTCCATTAATCAGAGTTTACTAATTTTGTGAGTCTGAATCTAGGAACAGACTTGTGTTCCTAGATTATTCCCATGTAGCTCCAAAGAAATAGTTGTTATCATGACAAACTTCCTCACTGGCCCCTCGTATTTCCAAAATGTTTAACTAATGAACCCAGATATTGAGGGCACGCAAGGAAATGCAGCAGGTTTTTAGTCCTTAATTTTCATTCCTTGCAGTCTATCTGCTGTCAGGGTGGAGCTTTTCAAATGCAGGTGCTTTAAAAAAAATACTTGAAGTTAGTTGAGGACGTCAGTTCTGCAAAACAGAAGAATGTACCTCAGTGAACCTAGGTCTTACAGTGGGAGTATTCAGAAATACTATCTGTTCGATTCTTTGGGACTTAGACCTTTAGTGCAATGGCACCAGAGCTCCCTTTTCAACAGAATTTTGGCCACTAAAGACACGAGCAGGTTAGAAAAATAAGTACATTATTCATCTAGCTTTTCAGTGCAGCATTGTTGTGTTGGATTTTGTTTTGTTTTTACAATTTGTTCACCAAAGTCATCTTGTAGTCAAAGCTGGTAGTCAGTGTGGACAAATACAACTAACGTTCCTCTTTTCCATGGCAAATCTGCTTAAAAATAATGTTTGCATTATGTATGGGTGCTTTTCTAAATTATAAGCTAATTCAGAAAACTAAACAGTTGATGACCTATATGAGAATAAATGTTCAAGGTGAAAAGTGAATATTACTATTCTGATTAGTATCTAGCTTAGCAAGCCTTTCATATTGTCTCCTGCAACACTCCCACACCCCACCTACAGAAAATTGACTTGAATTTAGTGGGGCAGCCCCAAGGTGTCCTGTTGTTTAAAGAGAGAGAGAGATAGCTAAGGTCATAGTTCTCACACTGGAACATGAAGAGCTCTAGCACTTGCCTGAGGTTCTCGTTCTTTTTTCTTTATTTTTCCAGTTAATGCAGCATTTTAGTCTTGACTGGTTGCTAGATTGATAATACTGTCTTTCCGTTAAGGAGAAGCATTTAGTATTACATAAAGAGGCAGATATATTATCTGCACCACAGAAATATAACTTGCGATGGTAGTGATGGTGGTTTCTTTAAACTGTAGCTGGGGAATCAAATTATTACTTCACCGTGTATATGACGATATAATTCACTCTGCAGGGCCTTCACATATATAATATGGCTTACACTTCATACTACAAAATCAGCAAACTATTTGACCATTTTTAGATTGCCACCTTATTCTATTTGCCTGGGCATTCTGAACTCTCACAGACTATTAAGCTCCAGTTTGAAGCAAAAAACTTTTGAATAGCTCCCATTTGGTCCTCTTTAGATGTTCACATTTTGGCACAGAGCAGAAATTCTAACTCTGTCCCAATCTAGAGCCTCTCATCTTGGAATAGATAACTGGGGTATTCAGGGCCTGTAGGCAATCATCAATGTTGCAGTGGCAGTTCAAATTCAGATCCATTACTTTTTTCAATGTTGGCTTTCCACAATGACAGTATCTACTCGGCACTGCGAAATATTCCCTACCTGGTTGTGCATCTCATCCTCTTCTCTGATTCATTTCATTCTCTCCAAGTGCAGCTAATGACTTTGTAAAAAGCATTATGACTAAATGGAACCTTAGTGCTTAAAGTTGGTTTTCCTTGAACACCTGCAGGCCGAGCGCTGCTAATTGCTGAAAATGGCGAAATGCAAACACCTTTTGTTTCTGCGTGACTCCTGCCCAAAAGGAAACAGGACAGTTCTTCTGAATGAGACAGATACAAGAAACCAAGGGCATTTTACCAAAACTTTTTAAAATGAAAAGATCCACCTTTTTGAACAATCAAGCAAGTCAAGCCAATCATGAGGCTCAGCATATTAAACATTTCTCATGTGGAAACAAAACGAGGCTCTAAATTTCTCTAGGCCTTCCCGTGAACTGGACTTTATCATATAGATTGTGTGTTTAGGGCTTCCTTTGTGCCAGCCCCTGCCCTCCCTTCACAGCTGTACTTGTAAGAAGAGAGATATCTGCACTGCTTTATCCAACTTGGTTCTTGCAATGTCATGTGTTTTAACTAGGTATTTGTTTCATGGAAAAAAAAAATAAACTGTGAATATTTTTGGTGGAGGCTATTTTAAATCTTTAAAACTCAGAATTTTTTATTTTGAAATCTTTTGTTCAGATTCCTAGGGATCATGTAGGTGACTGTAAGAACTGGGATTTACGTAGCAGCACATTCTGAATCTTTGGCTAGGAACTCATGATTGAACCAATTTAAATCTTTCAAGTGGTATTTCAAAACAATTGCCCAATGACTTATTTAATATTACGCCTTTCATCTTTTCAGTGTCCTTAAACTGAATTTGTTTAAAGTCCAAAGCTGTTAACTGAACTAAGTAATGAAATAGAAAACATTGCAAAAGTAAAGCTGGAGCAACTTGAATATTTTATCAAACACAACAGACTTCTCCAAGTCCAGGGTTAATTGTCCAGGTCATTAAGCTAAGTAAATAAACTACAAGGTGTAACTTCAGGAAAATATGAGGCATAAGGAGGAATCACCACCCAGGTCTCAGTTAGCATAAGGTAAGTTGCAGTCTCTATAACCAGATGACCACGAGGCAGGAAATTCTTCATTAGAAGGGACACTGGTCAAATAGAGAATGCCATCAGTCCAAAAGAAAAGAGCAAATGAGGGTTGGAGAACATAGTTAATAAAAGTTGAATTTCTAGGGGCTAAAATAGTCTTGAATTTAAAGTTGTTTGGGCATATTTACTCTACTCTGCTGTTGAGTAGTGGTATCTTGCTGGAATTGTGGATTCGCCTATGTGCAAATATTTTACTTTGCTATCATGTTTATTTTAGACAGAAAAAGAAATGGTCTATAACTAAGAGTCTGGTCTAGGGTCGTGCAATTTTGGTAGATGTGGGTCTGAGATCATATTTTGTCTTTGAAAAATGGGCCAAGAAGGCACATTCCAAAAATTAAACAGATTGGAGAATTGAGAACAATCTGGGCTAGAATTTAATGTAAATACATACATACATACACACATACATGCAGTGTGCATTTTACAGTTTGGGTGACTGTATAAAACTGTAAAGAATACAATTTGTGCCTCTCCTTTTTCCAAACATTTTATCTAAGCTTTTGAGAAGGGAGAAGTGAACCTTAAAGCCTGCAGGTGCCTAGATCTGTTCAGAAACACATGAAGCTGTTAAAAAGGTTTATTTTTAATATATAGGCTACTTGTGGGATGTGTACAGTGTAAAACTAAATTGAGGGCACTCATTGGTCAGTCTTGTAATAGTTACAAGTTAAACATGTTTATTTCCCAGAGGCTTGAATGGGGCTTGTTTATACATGATCATGATAATATTGAAGTATATGGAGAATTCTGGCCAGAACGGTTCAGTAATGTGCTGCTAACCATTCCATATTTCATGCTTCTCTGTACCAGTTTTCTGCATTTTCCTGCAGATGGTAAATTGACTGCAAGTTAGGATGTATAGTTTTAAAATGTGGGCGTATTTTTAATTAAAAATGGGAATTTAGAATTATATGTAATATTCTGCAGCATTCATATGCTTATGTTCAATTTTTAAAAAAGTCTTTCCTCCAAATACACGTAATTACTAATGAGCTACATAAAAAGAATTTATTACCCCTTGTGTTGCTATATGAGATTTTACAGTGTGGTTGAATTCCTTGGAATGTACAAAGCTGTTGAAACTAATTTGACCATTTAAGAACATTGCATTACAGGAATTGAGATAACATTCACATCCAAGATCAAGATGCATTGGCTTATTCAAATATTGACAGAAAGTTACACTAAATAATGGACACATCTCTGTCTCCTTTTCTAGATTTGCAATTGTTAGTATGTTCAAGGTGGTAGGGAACAATTTATATGACAGCCACTTGAATGCGCTAGTCCTTTTGGACTTCAGGTTGTTATATGCTTTCTGCTTCTGCAGGGCAACATCTTGAAAAGTTGTAGTAAGTGCAGCTCAAATTCATCCTGCACTCTTGACTAGATAAATCCCCGAAGCTGTGCATTCTGCTCATCACCAGATAAGCCAGATTACAGAAAGCATGCCCTTTTGGTTGTAAAGTTGAAAAAACCCTGAGGCAGCAGGATATCCCATTGATCATTTTTTGATACTGTACTTTACGGTGTGATGATTTTACATTTGCTAGGTGTGTCATCTGAAGAGAGATGCTTTTGTAAGAGCCTAAGAGCTTATCCTAGTATGTGGTCAAAAGTATTAAGAGAGGCTTGCTTACATTTGAGGGTTCAAAACAAAAGTAATGTTGATTCAGGAGAGGGGGAGATGGTGGAAGAGGATCTTGTGTTTTATCTGTTGCGGAAAAAGCAAATTCCTTGCAGCATTTTAGAGACTTAACAAATTTATGACAAGTTTGGGGGTTGCAGTTCTTAAAACAGCTGCAGAACTATTGTTCATACTTTTGGTCATTTATAACAGTGATTTTAAACTTTAAAGAAAATCATATGTTGTCTTTATGAAACCAAAATAAAAATGAGTCAGATAAGGTAATTAGCACTTAGTAATGCTAACATGATGGAAGGGGAGGGGGGAGAATTGTTTCTCCAATATGCATTGTTTCATTCTCAGGCATGTTGGTTACTGATTGTGGAGAGGGCATCAGTGGGAATTATGGCTAAGCAGAGCTGTTTGCAGGAGATCTAAACAGTATATGCTGCCATATCCCTCCAGTGCTTAATTTTACCTGCATGGATGATGAAAAGGTGTCAACAAAGCAAATGCCTATATTTGTGGAAAAAACCAGCCCTATATGGCTATGCAGAGCTGCCCAATTCAGAGAGCTGGCTGTCAGAAGAAATTTTTGGAATAGCTACATTGGAAGAAGATAAAGTGTCTTTGGATTATTATTTTCATTTTGCTTCCCATACCTAGTTGACTGTATGTGAAATTTATAATAATTGGGGGAGGGGGGGAGGTTGCCCTACCTGGCGTTCCCAAAATATGTACTGTAATTCTTTGTATATAAAAGAACGTAATTACTGTAAAGTAAAGTTTAACTTTACTCTTATCTGTGTGCATTGTCTCATTAAGGTCTGGCAGAACATTAAAATCTACTTTAAAGGAAGGCTACTTTCACAGCAGTTAACCCCTCCAAACAGTTAATGGGCCCAACAGTGCTTAGCTTCCAAGAGAGCACAATGTTGTTTGTCTGCCTCTCAGGCAAAGTCAAGTCATGCTCATTTCTGGTGACTTTTAAAACTGTCCAGACTAAATTATTAAAAACTGTTGAAAGTGTGCTGCAAAATTAAAATGTGATTTTTACTGGATCCTTAACATGTGGCATTTTAACTTCTATCTTACTATAGCTAGAAACGTAGATAATTATTATTTATTCACCATCCTGAATTGATGGAGCTTCTTTCTGTCTATCATTGACCAAAACATTGTGCAGCTTTCTTTTTAGTGTCTTAGTAGAAGATTCAGTCCTATTTTTAAAAGTCCAAAGGGAGAAAAAACATTTTCCAGTGACAAATTAACAGGTAACGAAGTGTAATATATCCAACACCTTGATACTGCTAGTGTTTATAAAAGAAAACATTACTACCCTTCCCTGTCAGGAAAGGAAAAGCATTTTCATGATTACATCTGTGATCTCGCTCTACAGCCTTCTGGCATTCTCTAGCTCCCATATTCCACCACTGTAACTGCATTGGAACTCCAGTATCCTAATACTATCTACTGTATGTAGTTCTATGCATTGTTGTATTAAATTACTTTGGCCAACTCTGATTAAGCTATCTCAATAGAGACCCCTATTTGAAAGAAGGGTTGTTTCTGTTGCTACATTGACAGCCGCTGATTGGCAGAAACTGATGGTCATCCCTAGAACCACTCTGAGATGACTTGCAGGTAAGAAAGTTTCCTCATATGGCCCCTACGGATAGCTCTCATTTAACAACAGTAACCGATACCATCATTTCTATCTCTAAGCAATGCAGTTGTAAAGTGTGGGGTTATGTAACCATGTCACTTTATGACAGAAATTCCTACATTTTCAGTTGCCATCATTAAACAAGAATATCACACCATCACTATTTGCAACCTATACATTTCCCTATTGACTTTGGTTATAGGAAACTGACAAAAGGAGGTCACAAATGGCAATCGTGACCTAAGTACCAAGAGAGGTAAGTATCACACCTTCGTAAGCTCCATCGTAAGTAGGGTCACTGAACAAGTGGTTAAGTAAGGACCACCTGTATATAACATAGTAAAACCAGGACACAGATTCTTTTCCTAACTTTCTGAAGTTCTGGACATACTGTAATTGCAGATAAATTCTCATCCCCAAGTGCTGCTCCAAATAATCTGAAACTTTTTCAGCAGAAATAGAAAGCTGACCATATCCCTCACACAAGACCACACTGCGTTTTATTTACATGTAGATAACTTAATTGGAATCCATTTAAATAAGCTTAAGAATCAGGCAACATCTTCAAAATAGCAGAAACAACCCTAGTCAGCATAAGGTCTCTTGTGCATAGTGATGAAAAATAATTCTTGACACAGTTCAATAATTTAGTCAATATCTGTGGGGAAGGGAGCACAAGGCAATCAAATCTTCCACTCAACAAGGCAGCACATTTTGCAGCATATTCATATCCTTGATCTCTTCTGTTTCCTTGGATAGCGGCCAACAAATGATGTTCTACATATCCAAAGGGCAAGGCATTCCAACTAGCAAGTAGAAGATGTGACCCACCATAAAAAGCATGAATTGCAATCTCTGGTGGAAAATGTTACTTTTGGCAAAATAAAGAATTCAGTGATGACAACAGCTGTAAAAATAGGTGGTAGTGTTCTTTTGATTCAGATCAACTCCTTTGTCCTCTGAAAGTAAACACATATAGGTTATACAGGTTGTACAGATTTCAAACAAATCATAGTTAAGGCTCCATTAAAATTTCTGTGGAAAAATTTGGCAGTCACAATTCACTTAAATGTGGGTAATGCATAAAAGCCAATACCTTTCCTCTGTTCTCGTCATTCCCAATCCTCCGTTACTGATAAGACAGGAGTGTGAAAAGATGCTTATTGATTCTGCTGCCTTCCATGCTTCTCAGGACACATTCACAACTATTCTCCTAAATTCAGTTAAAGGTCTCCAGGTCTCAGTTTCACAGGGAATAGTAATATGCTGGATATATGTTTTAATTCAGGAATACAACAAATGATTTAGAAGTGGATATAGATGCTTAGAACACGCCTGGTTCAGCAACTCACCTGTTAAGTCAAAATCAGTAAAATGCGCATAATCTTCAGCCACCTTCTGGAATAGCTCATCTTAAAAAATAGAGATAATAAAATCACACAGAGCAATGAAACACTCAAAATACAGCAAATAATGAAAATCCCTTTGTTAAACTGCTGAGTACTTTTGTAGTTTTTGTGTTTTTCCCTTCCCCTCCTTCGGGTTTGTGCGTCGCCCTGAGTCCCGCAGGGAATAGGGCGGCATATAAATAAAATGAAACTCAAACTCAAAACTCAAACTGAGGCAGCCAAAAATGTAACCCTTTTAGTCTATTTGTATACTCGCAGTGGGATAGTTAATTTAACTAAGTATAACTTTTTTTTAACAGATCTGCTAGAATTATATTGTAGTTCTAATTGAAGTGGAGGTAAAAATAGTTGCTTTGTCTTTTCTCATAAAGAAAAGATAAAATAACTCCATTCACATTATCCTCTCTCCAACACTAGGAGAGAAAAATAGGGGAATGAACATATGATTAAACATTCTGCCTATTCTGGAATTCGGTTGTTCCAAGAATGCCAGGCATGTTTAGCATAATGTATGTACTGCACACAAACAAGATACATACCTACATTCTGTCCAGTCTTGCTTGAGGTTTCAAACAGCTCAGCTTTGATCTCTGGAATGATGTATCAGAAGGCAAGGATAAATGTTTTGTTTTGTACTAGTAACCGATAATATATCAACTATTACAACTCTCAGCCTCTGGGCTAGATCTAGAGCAGGAGCAATCTATACAAAATCACAGCCATTTGGAATCAGATCATTTCCCCTCTCTTTCCCCCCCCCCCAACCCCTTCAACAAACATGAATATTCCAGCCAATGACTTTGCTCCAAAAAGGTGGATGCAAATTATTTTCCCTGAAGGGCAACACCTAAGTCACATAATTGCAATAAACTGCTGTTTTAGAAGATGACAGTAGAACTGTTTGCCCTCCTTTCAAAACTGAGCAATTGTCAGCAGTGTCCCTTTCATGAGGAATTATAACCAATAAACAAACATGGTTTGTCTTTCCAAAGTCATGGTCAATGGAACATTTGGACTGCCTATGAATGACTGACAGGGACAGATATACAACAGAATAAAATAAAAACACACCATCTGCATAGTCCTGTACATCATGGAAGTCAATTTCTCGTCTTCTCTTATCCTCTTCCAGCAAGTCACTTTTGGTGCCACACAAATAGATCCTGCAGTTCTACAAAGAAAGAAAACAAAGCTAGTACTGTCAACATATGAGTCCACTGACACTTTGCTCCTCACAGGAATCGTTATAGAGCAGGGGTGTCAAACTCAAGGCCCGTGGGCCGAATTCAGCCCACAGGGGGTGTAGATCTGGCCTGCGGGGCTAGCCTGGAAATAATAAAGGCCTGTGGTGCCTCCGCTACTGAAAATGTGGTGCAGGGGGGACCATGTGCCCCCCCCAGCCCCCAGTTATGGGCCTGGACAGCCTCCTGCAACACTCTGAGAGCCAAAATGCGCCCCCAAATTTGGCCTGTTTTGGCTGCCAGAGTGCTGCAGGAGACCGTCCTTGATTATATAGCCCCGATTAGAACATATGTGTGTTGTGAATTTTAAACTATTTTTTTACTTATTTGCTTTTCTTTTTTCTTCTTTCGCTGTAAGCCGCCCGGAGTCCTCCGGGATTGAGCGGCCTATAAATTTAATTAATGAATGAAATGAATGAATTCGTAAGCTTATAAAAGGGAAGAAAGGTAAAATATTTTACCTTTCATGCTTGCAGGATTCTGCTACCATAGCCTATGTCAGCGATGGCGAACCATTTTTGGCTCACGTGCCATAACTGGGGGGAGTGCAGGAGGGTCATGCGTGGGCATGCCGCACCCGTAATGCAATGTGTGACCCCCCCA